TGTGTGTGTGAAAAAGACACTTTGAGGGAAGGAAATATGTCAGCATGTATACCATCCTCTAATGGTATAGTTAATTGGTTTGGAAGACCAGACTCAAACCAATCTGTGGCTTTGGACTTGTCCAAATCACGTGGAAGAAAACTTCAAGGGACCACTGTACTTGCTGGCTTCTGAAAGCTGACTAGTGATGTTTCCTCTCAGCTTCTTCTCCATGATGTGAGAAGGTTCGGGCGTTTAATAATGGGACTTACGTGATTGTCATCCCAGCTCCTCGGTGCCAGTCACCTTGCTGCTACGTAGCCTTGTACTCTAGATGGGAAGGACTTTCTGGGGTGGAAAGCGCTTGACGTTTTGGATTCGGATAGGGCTGAACTAACTGCACAGATTCTAGAACAGAAAATGGGAAACTCGCTAAGTGGGAATAGTAACATCTGACCCAGGTTTGTGAGAGTCTGGTATCAGGAGGATTTCATGCCCTGTTCTAGAAAAGTCCCTCTCCAGCTCGTGACCGAGCCATCTGTGGTCGACCAGTCAGCACTGGTGTGGCCACATGTGCGGACAGGGAAAGATCTCTCTGTTCCTCTGAGTCCCATTTTTAGACTTTTAGAAATTTGGCCATGTGCTGGTGCCTCCTCATTAAGAATGTTTTTCGTGAAAACAAGTGAGTTTTGTTGACATTGCAATTTTTTTTTCTCCCTGGATGTTCAGTGGGAGACAGAGTGTAATAAATATGAAGGGATGCAAACCGCAAATGTGTGGGGGATTTGTGTTGGCATAATGGAGGCTCAGGCAAACAAACAGATGCGCGCGTAAGTCGAGTGTGGGCTTGTGGTGACACCCCTCTCTTGCTCGTGGGATGACCACATGTGCCTCGCCGGAGCGCAGATCCCTCCTGTATTCCCACAGTAGTGACAATGACACTGAGAGCTGCCACGAGCTCAGCCGCACAGCCCTCACCCATCTGCTGTCACAGCCCAGGCTCCCAAGCTTTCTCGCAGATGACGTGGTGTAGGTGCCGCGCCCCCCCTCCCTCCGCCCCAGCAGTCACAGAGGAGACAGGCATGATAAAAGAGATCTGGGGCTGGCTCTGTGGCCTGGTGACTAAGGCAGCGGGATCCCACATGGCCAACTGCGCGGTTTGGGTTCCAGATCAGGCAGCCTGAGAAACGTGCCAGGCATGTGTGTGCCCAAACCTCAAATGGAGGAAGAGATAGACAGGAAGAGATTGCAGGGTGACTGTACCCCATGACGGGGGGCAAGCCGATGCCCCCCTCTAGCAAACAAACAAAAAACGCTGAATGGCCAAAGTGGGTTATCTAGACTTCCACAGGCACCCCTCCTGCGTTGGCCCTGTGCCCTAGTGATGGGGGTAGCTGAATCCCACATGGCCAGCTCCGTAGTTCGAATCTTGCACCTATGGGTTTGAAAAACATGCCGGGTGCATGTGTGTGTGTGCCCCAAATCTCAGAAGGATGGATAAATAAAGAAGGAATTGGAGCATGGCCACACCCCATTGGAGTGCTTTCTCCCTCTCCCTTCTCTCTCTTTCTCAAATAAAAAATATATTTTAAAAAAAGTATGATTTCTCCCTTTGGCTGCAAACAGCAGAGGGGAAACACCACTAATAATGATAACCAACAGTGGGTAATTAATTCAAGGCACCTGTTGTGTTGTTGAACCCTCACAGCAGCTGTGTGTGATGGGCAGAACCCCAGGGGCCACGTCACCCTCGTCCTAAGAGAGGAAACAGTTTCTAGAGGGGGAGATGACTTCCCTAGGATCCCAGGGCTTCTACACGTTAGAGGTCCCGAGGGTTATGTGGGGTTTTTCGACCTAAGACTCTTGATGGCTGGCCCATTTATTCCTTCGTTTATCCATTCAGCAGCATTTCTTATGCATCTAGTTGGTGCCAAGCACTAGACATTCCGTGAGAAGGCAAAGCTCTTGTCTTCAAGAGGCTCAGACTTCAATGGATGGTAAGAGCAACTACATAGAGATTATCCCAAATAGAGGTGCAAAACTGGTGGTCTGCAGACTGTTTTTAGTGTGTTGACCTGTTCATTTTAGATTTAAAAGAAAAAAGAAAAACCTTTTGAAAATAGGAAGAAATTAATTAAAAACCCAACTGTCTGGGTTCTCGTGATAAATCGAAAGATCTGTTGACATCGTTCTCATACTCCCATGTGTTGGTGGCCGGGTCACACTTGCTGTGGTGGCTGCTTTACAAGGGGCACTCTCTGGCCAGTTTGCCAGGCTCACCCCATTTCTTGCCTGGCCCCTGTGGGTGGTTAAGTTTGCATTCCTCTTGGCCAGGCTGAGATGGGAAGGGAGAGGGAGCTCAGGAGGGCTTCCTGGAGGAGAGGATGTGTGGCCTACAATTTTCATAGGAAAAGGAAAAAAGAACAAGCTTTCCATGCAGGGGCAGCTGCATGGGAGATGACCTAGAAGTGCTGGACCACAGAGCATTCGGCATCTCCAGAGGGCAAAACTCCATCAGACTGCCCTTCCTCTGTGCAAAGAAAAGGTCCTGCCCTGGCTGAATCCGATTCTTTTCAGGCATCTCTGCATATGCAAAGGCACTGGGTCAGATGCGTAATGTCCTCTTGTGCTGAGGGAAGGAATGAGTAGCAAAAGGCGGATTTCTATCCAACTTCTCTCAAGTCTAGGAAAACCCGGGCCTCCGAGGCATGGTTTTGGGTGGCCCTTGTGCTCACCAATCTCTTCCGCACACAGATCATTTACTGGGTCACGAGGATTCTGAGCATCACCGTTTTCCTTTGAAAACTGGTGTCTGCCTGTGCTACGTTTCTGTTTCTGGAGCCTGTATTGATGGCCTCCATGTCTTAAGAATTTCTTTTTAATCACTGGGAATCATTTTGACAGTTCAGCTCTTCAAAACCTGTGTGTCATGCCAGTGGGGAGACCTAAAGGCCATTTTGTGATGCCAAAGCATGGGCTACATCGGCGGGCTTGCGTTCAGGAGGACACTGTGGTGTTAAACCATCTTGCTTGGAGAGCTAAAAGGGATGGGAGGGGGAGCCTTTGAGGTCCCCAGCTCTTCCCGGTGATGGGCACCTGGTCCCCCCCCCCCTCTACAACTGTGCTCAGGGAGGTCTGGACCATGTGGCGGCTAATGCTGTCGATCCCAGGCAACTTTTTGCTCAATAACTGTTTCCCAAATGGCTACTCAGGGGCCTTTCAGAATTCACCAGAGCTGTCAGTTGTTATAGTAACCGGCCCCCTGCTGTCGAGTTGGCCCTGAGATGCCAGTCACAGCTCTTGGAATGGGCTAACACACAGTCATTAGACAAAAGCGGGGCGAGTTGCTGCTAGAGGTTGCCATTTAGACAAGCTCGGGGATCCTAAAGAGACTGGACTGCTGCTGCGGTCCGGGAAGGGGAGGGCACGCAGACGTTCCCACCGAACTCGCCTTTCGCAGAGGAAACGTCTTCCCATGTTGAGGCTTTCCTAGGCAACAGCACCTTCCCTGGGATTCCTCTGGGTGCACGGGCTTCTCCCCCAGGGTGGGCTGCGTCTGCTCTGCCCGTTTGCCCAAGTGGCACCCTGGGCGATTTGCGATATTAGGTATTGATTTCCCGGCATTTGCTTCTCGGAAGAGTGCCGTCAGAGCACGGGTGGTAGCTTGAAGCGCCTGCGATCGTGTGTGAGGAAAACTGCGGAGATCGCCGGCTCTGCTCCAACATTCCCGGAAGAGTGAATCTGGCAGAATTCAGAGTAGGGCTAAGGGTTGAGAAAAAGTCTAAATATTTTCGGAAGCTGCAAATTTCAAGTTTTTATGAAAATTTGTAAAAACATTCCAACACACTCGTGATTTCTTCAGACTAATGCTTGTAGCCACACTGAGCAGACTCGGGATGTCGGGGACGGGGACGGCGCTGTAGTTCCAGCGTGTATGCGACAGAGGGAGCCGAGCAGTTCCGAGTCAGAGGCTCCCGCCCCGGGAAGCGTGTTCCCAGCTGTGGCTTCTCCACGCTCTGGTGCCTGTGTGGGCACTAGAACCCAATATCAAAATCAGTGAAGGCTGTATTCTGGAAGAAGAACCCAGTACTCAACATTCCAGGGTGTCCCTTCCTAGAAATAAAAAGCCATCAGGTGACTCTCACGTTAGCCAAGTATCATCTTTGGAATCCAGGGTTTTGTGCGGGGCTCAGCAGTTTCCAGGAAAGAGAGCATTCACATAGCTTCATTTGTTGTTGCTGTTCTATCAGCAGAGTTTGGTGAGAAAAGGAATCGTTTTGGTATAAAATGCTGTAGTCCAGGTGGTTTGGGGATTAAACAGAGTTAAACATTGTCAAATGTTCTTGTGTGACAAAGTGCACCTTTCAAATTCCATAGCCAAGTCTTCGAGGTAAAGGTTGTTTCCATTTTAAGGGGAGACTACACATAGGGCTGAATACATAAGTTATTTGCAAACCGCTCTCATCTTCCTGAAGTGCCTTTCCTGTGAATTCAGCAACCTGTAATCGTGGATCGGGAACGTGCTTGCCCAGAGTGGAGAGGCATACATGGGGAAAAGACGAAGCTCCACATCTGCCTGATAGCACCCAATTCAGAGAAACTCGTGGCAGAAGGGAAGCCCAAATGGTCCCCCGCAGCATCTCGCCACGTTCTGCTTATGCCAGTGGTACTCTGAGTCATCCTGTTTGCCAGGGCAGGGTGTCAGAGGTGGAGGAACAGGTGCCTGAAGGAAAAGGCTCACGATGGTGTTTGTGAGAGCCCTGCACCGCGTTAACGCCAGGGCTCCTAACACCTAGATGGCTTTTAAGAGCAGAGTTCCTATTTTATGTAAGTCGGCACAGAAGACCTTCATGAAACGGGCCACTGTTGTGTGGAAAACATCCTCTTTTGCAAAGGTCCCAGATGGGGCCTCATGGTGGGGTATGTGTTGGAGGGGATGGGGGCGTTTGTGTGCAACTCTGGGTGGCCAATTGAAAATACTGTCTTCTACACCTGTTCTCTCTTGTTTTTTGTCCATTCAGAGGGTGTAACAAAAAAAAGTCCAAGGGCTTTCCCAGACGTTTCCATGAAGTGCCTTCTTCTGGGGAGAGAGGAGAGAAGGGGAGCAGGTGAGGGGCGGTCCAGCTTAAGGGGGGGAGGATCTCGATGGCTGGGACTGGCTTGTCTATTTTCATTTTGTTGCCTTGAGGGTTAAAGTCTTCTGGACAGCACGATGCTGAAACTCACCTCTCCTACCGAAACTCCCAACAGTGAGACTTGCAACCATCAATTCAGCTTGCGGGTAGCTGGGACCGATTAAAGAATGTCCTGTGTGTGCTTGCTTTGCCTGATTTTGCAGTTTGGGGGGATGCTTTTTGTTTCTAGGTTGGTACCTATTGGGGATGCTCTATGTTTGTGCGTATGTGTGCTGCATCCATTTTTCTTTCCCATTGTTCAGGTATTTGCATGTTTTAGAACCTTGAAATACATATAATGCATGCATGTAGTCTTATAAGTGAAAATATCTCAGTAACATATATGTATCGATGTTAAGGACAAAGAGTAGGAAGGGGAGAAAGAACTGAGCAAATGTGGATGTAAAATGTTCTTTTCCATATTAAGGCTGAAATTAGAAAATACAGTTTGCATACTTAGGGTGGAAAATCATTGTCCTGGAAAGATGAATAATACACATTTAGAAGTCATGATTATACAAACTTGATCGCTACACTTAGGCCTCTTGTTAATATTTCAGTAAGGTTTATCTTAGGCAAACTCTATTTAGTATTAATGTGACAATCTTTCATCATTTCATTGCTAATTAGGCAAATTCACTAATCAGTATATATATCCTACGTCACCCCTTTTTACTTTTAATGAACCAATTCATACAATTTACACTAGAAATTTCATGTGAAATGACCTGACTCCCTTGGTTGTGGGTAAATCAATTATTGGGATAAACTTTTCAATATCCATCTGTTATAATCAGATATACCTATGATATCTGAGAAGGTACAGTACAGGATTGTGACCGATGAATGAGAAAGCCCGTGAGGTACGTTAACGTGTACGGTGCAATTCTGGTCTCGTGAAGAAGGCAATAACTGCGGACACTGGCAATGTAATTGTTCGATTATTTTTATAATCTTGTTACTTGCTGAAGTCTCTGGTTTCTAAGACATCTTCAAAACTGCAAGGGAAAAAATGGAAATAGAAACCCATCTGTATAGCTTTGGATTGAAAGATCTTCTCTCAAGAGAGGGAGACTTTAGCCATCACTTAAATGCTTAACTTTAATACCACATGTTTTCATCCATATAATGTGTTTTTTAACTATAACACTTTAAAGAGCCAGCAGCATCTTGTGGACAGCTCAGAGACAAACTGCACATCCAAGTTCTAAGTTGCCCCAGAAGTGGTGCTATGGCCTGCTAGACTCATTCATGTGCTTGACCCGAAGTGGGACTGGGCCTGTTACAGACACATGTTAGAGCCCGAGAGAGGTGGCTAGAAACTGTATCCCGCTACAAGGCATTCAGTCCGTCTGGTACCTCCTCTGCTTCTGAAGGAAGCTTGGGGGAAGCACAGTCTCTATCCTCGCGGTCTGTGAGTTGGGAACCTTCTTGGGAGACCCTGGGTGTTTATAGAATCCACCTGATTGTGAATCGTATTTTCTTTTTATGTTTTTTCTTTTTCTTTTTCTTTTTCTTTTTTTTTTTTTTTTTTTTTTTTTTTTTTTAATGCAGTAGCTAAAAAGACAGACTCTGGCCCAGGGAAATGTGGATTCCAACTGCAGCTATACCATTTCCTGGCTCTATGACGTGGAAGCTCTTTGAGCCTCAGTTTCCTCATCTCAAAAATGGATGTAATGAGAGCTCCTTTCCATGGGGTGGTGGTAAAGACAAATGTGGGAGTATTTGTGAAATACTTAGTGTGTGAAATATATTACCCCATTGAGACAATGTGGAAACTGAGGCTGGGAGAAATTACTCAGCGAGCCCACACTGCTTAAGTTGAGGAACTGGGACTTCCATCCTATCTACCCCTTCTCCTTACTGTGCAGTGCCGTGCCGGCTACTCCATGAGGAACAGGCGGGCCGGTATAGAGCCTGTCTTCAAGTCTCCAAGTAGCTGCTCTTTCTCACACCAGCTACCCTCCCACACCCTATTCCTCCAGAATCCCCAGTCCCCTTTCTCCATTAGGCTTCTGTGCACCCAGGTCCAGCAGCCCGCTTTCTCTTCTCCTCCCCCCTACACTCCTCAGCTGTGTTTGCTGCTGCCTCCTGACCCAGTTGCTCTATTAGAAAACTTTCTAGGGGGCCAGCCAGTGGTGCAGTGCTTAATGCAGCTGGGTCCCACATGGCCAACTTCATGGTTCAAGTCCTGGACCTACAGCTTGAGAAACACACCTGTTGTGTGTGCATATGTGCCCAAAACTCCGAGAAGAGAATGGAGGAAAAGGGATTGCTGCATGGCCATTTCCATGGGGGGTGCTTTCTCACTTTCAAATTCTCTCTCTGTCTCTCAGGCAAGTGTGCATGCCCTATAGCAAAAACAAAATGAAAATCTCAGGAGAATAAAGTTCCCCCAGTAACCTCTGCCAGGTTTCTGTGGGAACTGGACCAAAGGAAGCACCAGGCTCTCTCACCTCTGTCTGCTTTCGTGCACTCTCGTTTACTCTCCTGGCCGGCATCTCTGTCCAAAATCTGTCCAGGTGGGAGGAGAAAAGCCCCCAGAGATGCCTAAACTGAAACCCTCCAGACAGCTACAAGAGCAGTAACGGAGATCATGCACATGAACTTGATACGGCTTGATCCTTTTCCGTGTCATGATGCGCTTACCTTGAACTGTCCCCTCCCAGAACAGAAAAGAAGGGGACCTTGGGTGCGGAGAACTGTGAAAAGCAGGACAATGACTGTGAGAGATGGTAGCTGATGACTCCCAAGAGAGGAGAGGAAGAAAACAGCAGAACTCAGACCCATATATTTCCTTTATTTTTAAAAGTTGATTCATATTTGTAATAGGTAATATTTGACACAGTTTAAAAATCTTAAAATTCTGTGCTATACACTCCTACATCTTCAGCTCATCAGCCACCCCACCTTCCTCCCTAGCTGCTCACAAATAGTGGCCACTCTAGCCAGTTTGTTGTTCATTCTTCCAGAGATCGCCTTGTGCACATAGATAAACACATAAGAGTAGGTACCCCTGTATCCTCCTTTACACAGCAGTGGCTCCATACACTCTCACAGACCTTGCTTTTTTTCACGTAACACGGTTTTTCTTTGCATTGTTTGTTTGTTTATGTATATCAACAAACAAGCATGCTATTCCTTTGTGTTACAACTTATGTAACTAAACCTCTGCGGCTGTCATTTTGGTTGTACTTTGTCTTTGTTATTACAAACAGTATTGTGAATAACTGTCATTTTTGCAAGTGGGTTTAAGTATTGAGTTGTCAGAAAAGTCATGCCATAATTTTTCTATGTTTCTCTATGCAAAAATGTGTCATGACCTTTCCGACAACCCAATATATCTGTAGGATAAATTTCAGAAATTGACTGTGTCACGGGCCGATGCATTCGTAGTTTTGAGGGATGGCACCCAAACTGCCCTCCATGATGGGATACCAAGATGAGCTTCTATTAGCAGTGCTAAGCATGCCAATTTCCCTGCAGCCTCACCAGCACAGTGTGTTGTTAGACTTCAGTCTGTTTGCCGGAAATAGTATCTTAGTGTAATTTTAATGTGTTCTTATTATATGTGAGGTTGAGGTGTGAGGGTGAAACTTTTTTGGCTTTTTCTGTGAACTGTTTTACTTATATCTTTAAGAGAAAGACTGGTGAGCAGTATGGGTTGCAGACATTGTTTTCCGGTTCATAGTTTGCCATGTAATTGCTTATGATGCTTCTTTAACTTCTATATATTTCCATGTATCTCTATTTTCTTTTATGTCTTTTAGATTTTGAGTTATCATTAGAAAAATCTCTTTACACTGAGGTTACTTTAAGTGCTTTCATGGTCTCAAATTCTAATAGTTAATTCGTAAATCATTTGGAATGTAACCTATGTGATAGTGTGATATCTGAATAAACTTTTTTCCCAGGTTGCGTTAAGTATTTAAAAAGTACTGAAGTCCGGGGCTGTTCAGTGAAGAGGCACCTAATATCCTACTAGGCCATTAAAATATTACTCTTATAGCAAAATATAGTCAATCCGTATGGTAAAGAAGTAAGTAGTTGCCATTAGACCATCTTAGATGATAAATACTGAATAATATGTGCAGTAAATAAAATGTGAATTCCCCAAACAGGCGGACTATCATGTTACAGGAACCTTCCCAAGTTGGGGGTGGGGGGATTGTGTCAGTGTCTTGAAATAGACAGTGGCACATGAGGTGGAGAGTGAATTCCTCAAGCCTTACTCCAGATATTCTGAACATTTCATGCTAGAATTCAAAGAGAAGCTTCTTCCAAGTCATCTCTGACATCAAGTCTCTGTTTCTAGGTAAGAGCTAAGAGCCTTGGGACCCAGTGCTGTCCCAGGTTCACTTCCTTGCAGCCAATAGCAGTATAAAAATTGCCAAGTTCAGGTTCTTGGTCTTGTCAAGTGTGGTTTATGAAGTGACTTTTGCTCTCTTGTTGCTTAAAAAAGTAGTATTCCTCCTACCATCGCCCTAGGTATGCAAGAATTTGTTGGTATACTTACTGTTTAGCAAGAGAATATACTGTTTCAAGGCCTTCACTGTGCCTGCAACTTGTTAATTTTCTCCCACCTTCCTGAAGTCCTTCACTGCAGGCTGTTAGAATCATCCAATAAACTCTCAGTGCAGGAATCAGATCGTTGTCACTTTCGGCTCTAACAGCTGACTGGGACATCTCCCCTACCCATGTGAAAGCAAAAATCTTTTAAAACATTCTGTCCTTGTTTAACATCTGCATCCTCTCATTCCCCATCCATCTTCCACCTGGTTCTGATCTTTTCCGCTCCCTTTGTTTCCTTCCTTCCCTTCTCATATTTGAGAAGCCCCCAGATATCCAAGGTTTGACGATCATATGCCCCAGGATGTTCAGTGCAGCTCTGATGCAAAGTGATGCCATTTAATGATACCCAAGAGCATGTCCCC